AACTATAAGACAGAGAAATATTTTTCAACATTACAATAGTTATTTACCTAACAAGTGTGTGCGGAAAAGTGCTACTTTCCGCACGCTGGTAGAAAAAAGTCTTTACACAACATTGTCAACGTACTTTTCTTCCTAGTGTTGTAGTGCTAGTAATAATATGTTTACATAGATAAAACGTCATTAAATATGAGTTCCTTGATTTGATTTGTAATCAAGCGAATATTCCGTAATACCCACCAAACGTTGGTAATCTAATCCCATATCATTTGAGTGCCGGCTTTGCTCAGATTTGCATATTATGTTTATTCTCATCGCCGAAGTTAGAATTAGCGATCTCGACATCACCAGGGATGCCAGAGCTTATTATTCTTGAGTACTTGCCGTCGCAATGCGTACTCACGGAACTTTAACTCGGCTAATTGCATTTATTAACAAACTCCCTTATGGCGAGAATAAAGTTTCGACTATTTCAATCATTTCTTAAGTCATCTATTAACTCTGACAATGTGATCCATATTCAAAAAGATCTTAATTGACCGAGAAGTATGGACGCAGCCTGAAGGACGGAAAAGATCGAAAATAGTAATATTTGTTTACTCCTTAAGCACAATATGATATATACATATACAGGGTGGCGTGGAAAAACGCTCAGACCCGTCGATTTTGTTTTCGAGGGGGACACTAGTTTGGCAAAAAATCACGTTAGCACGTGCAGCCCTCTAAGCGGGGGTGACACCACCCCCAAAATCTTAAATGGAAAGGGGGGTCGAGTGATACCTTATTTTAAAGGTCTTTCAATTCCCTTTATACTGATGTAAAATACATGAGCTTCAGTTCAGTAGTTTTGAAGATTTATTGATTTAAAGCTTAAAGTAGACTTTAATAGGTACATCAGATTCGTTTGTACTACTTTCAGAAGAAATTTGACTAAGAGAATTTACTTAATAAGTAAATGCTTTTCTTCACTACGCCCATGGTTTGTTTATCATTTTGTTGTTGAACATAGCTATTGGAGCGTTTTTTGTGGCAAAAAAGTTATTTCTTGAAGAATGATAAGGAAATATCTCGTACTTATTTTAAATGGGAATTTAGTACATAGTTTGCGATTGATTTGACCAAACTTTGTTGCTAAAATAACTTGTAACGTTTTATTACATAAATTAACCATGGTATAATCCACAGCAGAAAGAGTTGAAATTATCGAAATATTTTTCGGAAGTAATCAGTGCCCTAATAGAACAGCAGAAATATTTAATAAGCGATATGAGAACAGTAACGTGCATCGAAAATATGTTCTAGAACTTGTAGCTAAATTTCGGGAAACTGGGTCAGTCGCAACATTGAAAATCCCATAAGGAACGAAGCAATAGAAGTGGGGGTTTTAGGGCAAGTTTATGTACAGTATATTCAGATAAGAGATAGACCGGACATAAACAAGACCACGTGATCATCGAACGCTGTAACATTCGGCAGGGACGTATTAAGAGTCACGCAGTACATATTTTAGATAGTAGATGCTGCTTTGCGTAACTTTGTAGTAAATTAGCACAATTCGATGTGTATACGATTGGTGATGGATATAGGATCATGTGGGGGTGGGGTAAGAAATATATAATGATGTAAATATACATAAGGGCTTCAAAATTTTCGCTTCGATTTCCAGCTTCGGATGCCGCCTGATGTTTGGTGAAATACAGTCGAATATAATCTCAAAATGGCGTTTAAATTAGCCTAAATTAAAAATAATCGTATATCTCTTAAAATTGCTTTTAGAATATTGATTAGTATATTTTTTGATTTCTAGGTAAATGTGTAACCAAATTAAAACGTTCAAAACGTAAAAAAATGTGCATGGTTGAACATTGTCAGAAAGTAGATTCTTGAATAGGTTTTGCCAAAATGGGTTCAAAAATGTCAATAATTAATTAAAAAATATAGTAGCTTTATAATTACTTATAACTTACCGAATTTGATGAACGACATCTTTTATTGGAAAGATGAGCTTGATGAGCTTTCATCGCTACTGCCTGAAGCACCAACGTCAATAATGAATGGCTCGACTTGTTCCTCTAAAATATTGTCCAGTTCCCACATTCTCTTTTCAACTTTGTCTTTCACGTGCTTAATAGAGTTTTCCCATTTTGCGCTGTTATTAATTCTAGTGCTTCTTTGAAAAGTCCTTTGAGGTCACAAAATTTAAAAGTTGTATTGTGCTTAGCTATATATTTTTTAACCTCTGCTCATATGAGCTCAATGGGATTGAGCTCGCAATGGTATGGAGGTAAACGGAGGACAGTTTTATTTTGACTTGCTGCCATTTCGTCAATGGCGTATTTTTGATATTCCGCCTTGTGATCCTTGACAATTCTTAATAATTGTACTTTCAGCATTGCTTCTTCAAAGTTGATATTTTTCGAGCGGAGCCAATTTTGAACATCAACTTTCCTTGAAGCCGTTGTTGGGACCTTCTCCATTCTTCGAGAATAATAAGGCGCATTATCCAACAAATTTACTGCGTTTTCCTCTAAGTTCGGTAAAATTTTGGAAAACCACTGTTCAAACGATTCGCCATTCATTTCCTCGTGGTAATCTCCAGTTTTCTTAGACTCAAAGCACCACAGACCGTCAACAACAAATCCATCCTCACTGCCAATATGGCAGATAATGAGCCTTTTCCCTTTACCTGGAAATCGAAGTACTAACTGGTGAAGATTTATTTCAATAAGCGAACCTTTTTCAAATGTTTTCATCACATTCAGCGAAAAAACATTGAGACATGAGTATCAGATTGCTATAATTGGGATTATTTAGTCATATTGAAAGAAAGAATATTGAACGTCGTATGATTACTCAGCGATTCACAATTTAATTTAAAGTTATAAACCTTTAAAAAATGAATGATCAGGAACCTGAAATACGCGCAAATATTAATATTAACAAATTATAACTTTATAAAGCTTAAAGTATGAATTAAAATGATTAGAAATATTAGGAACGGTACACAATATAAAACTTAGTAACTTTTTTTAAGTTTATAATATTCGACATATTTTAAGATTATATTAAAAAATTATTGAAATATCGAAAACACATAAAAACATGGCTTAAAACAGTTCTAACAAATGAAAATGACAATAAAACATCCACGCATTTTATCGAAAGTTATAAAAGTTTTGTTACTTGTAATATGTTTTATCTGCCCCCTGGAATTAATGTTTAGAACCTTGTTCCCAAGGTTTGAAAAACATCCGATTGTTGTCTATTACTCGTATTTACCTGCTGGATTTTTTAATCCGGTGGACAGTCCATCTAGAAAGGCCCTCCTGGATGAAGTTACAGAATCATCAACCCATACTTTACTTGTAGTGTGTCCTGCGTTTACCCACGTTTCATCAAGGTAATAAATCTTCCTGTTTTGATTTCTATATTTCCCAACTTTTGTTAAATAATCCCTCCTCCATAGCACAATTTCTTCTCTATCCAGTAGTAAACTATTACGACCCCGTTTTTTCCATTTGAAATTTAAATGCTTCAGTAACGCATGGAAAGTTGATCGTTTGAAATTTGGCAACGTTGTATCTCCATTTACCTCCTGCAGTACTTTATCTATAGTAGGTATTTCATTCCTAAAGAAGAATTCATGCACTTTCCTCCTAATCGCATGCTTATCAGCTTCATCCAATGATTTAACAATACTTTTGCGATGTTTACTGGTCATTGGCTCAGAAAAGGTGTGATTTTTTTTGTATGGTCTTAACACATTAAACACTGATGCGCGACACACCCCAACTTTGTGAGAAACCTCCACAACAATTTCTTTGATGGTTGATGCCTCGTTCTCCTCGCGCTCGACCTTATATATATTCAAAATGACCTCTTTCATTTCTGCACTCAGGTGTCTTTTTTTAGAGCGTTTCGTAGGTGGACTACAGGAGTTTACAACTTCATCGGCAGTATCTGTACTACTGGGCATTTTGCGCAAGCAGTTGATAACAATAACAATCAATAACAAGGTATAACAATAATAACGACAAACTCAACAACTTAATAAGATAACAAACGAAAACGTCCAAAGAAATATCAAATTGCAATGATGCACACGACATACGTAACACGTCTGAACCTGAATGTGACTCTGCCTTGATACGACTGCTCTGCCGCTCGGCATAGGCATTTAATTGCGAATTGACCAATGAGGGCTCCTGTTTTACGTCGAGACGGCGGCGTTAGCGTGAAAATCACCCGAACCTTTTGTTTACATCCGGTCTAGCTCTTATCTGAATATACTGTAGATCCTACGTTAAGTACCCGCAAATTGGAGACTGTGTGATGTTAGTCGACGTACTGTCCAACGGATTCTAAAGGCCCATAGTTTTCATCCGTATAAAATTCACCTGGTACAAGAACTTAATGAAGACGATTTTGATCGGCGCTTACAATTTTGGGGGTGGTGTCACCCCTGCCCAGGGGGCTGCATGTGCCACCCTGTATATTGAGGCACTTAGACATAACACTGACGAGTTTCCTGACAGCCAGCAGGCACAGGCAGTTTGGGATTGACCAACAAAATTGCTAGACACGACTATCGAGAAATAATAGAACGTTTAATAATGCTTTACAAAAGTTTTGATTCTATATTTCCTATTCACAATCAATATAAATATATTTTCTATCTCATAACGATTGATTTTTGATCCGGGAGTGTGAGGTAGCCACGCTTTAAGCTTGTTTTCTAAGCCATTGAACCTGAAGGCTTCTTGACTTCCATTCGGAATTTCTCTATAAAGTACAGAACCGAGAAAGGTATAACGTCTTAGTGGTTTAACTTTCTGAACTTGGGGTATTCGTATAGTACGTCTGGTTTGATGGTGATGTGAGATATTCGCGCTGGAATCTTTATACTCGAATGGTCTAATGGTAACCGCAATAAAAAACAACTGTCTATCATCAAACACACCAGCATCGCCAAATGATGCTAACATAAGGAATTTTTGTTTCAGAGCGTTCTTGAGGATTCTCTGCGTCTGCTGTCCTAGATCAATCAGGAAAAAGTACCAACCAGTATTCAGGAGTAAGGCTAGTCAGGTGAGTATGATGCATCACAGCATTCGATATGACTAGGCATTGATAGCAAGGTGAATACTTTCTTTAGGGACAAGAATCGATTCTTTAGAGAATGAAATTTGGTCATGGAAAATGTGCACCTCCAAAAAGTTACCATAAAGAGGTATGCGTTTGCAAAAATATAGAAATCAAAGAATGAAATGCAATTTAGTTTAGGAAGAATGATCCAATTGTGATGAACATATTCGAAGATATTAACTGGCATTACCACTGCATTTGCATGGAATATTAAAGAGAAGCATTATCAGTTCTAGAAATACCCTGCCTTTAGCAGCATAGTGAATAAAAGATCCAAGCATTTTGAGTATAATATAGTCCATCTTTCAGCCAGTACGAATCTAAACTACATTTACAGGTAGTTTTGATTTGCCTTATAGTGCTGTTCGACTAGAGATGTTGAGAGATTCAAAAAACTGTGTTTCGATTAACATCTTGCTGACATCAAAATACGGGCTTTTCCATTCTAAGACGTCCTACGTACTCGTCAGCTGGGGTCATTCAAAGTCTTTGCGATATAGAGTCGTTGTGTTAGATGTATCTGTGACTTAGGAATCCATGTAGAGATGCTCTTATCCAACTGAAAACGTTAATCCCACTGTCATTGTACATGGTAACTTACTTATGTTCACAGAAATCGTCATTTGTATACAACGCACCGCTAGAACAAGCCTAATACCCACAAGTTAAATTGACCCCAACAACGTCCACAAACAATTAGAAATGGTATTAATTACCGCGGAATCCGCTTTTATAATGCAATTCCAGAATAGGTCAAGCTCTGTACCTTCGAGCATTTCAAAATGAAAATAAAGAGCTTCTTGATCAACAAAGCATATTACGGTGACCTTTCAAAACTATTTTTATAACGTTTTTGCGCTTTTTCAAATTTTTGTGTTTGTAGAGGTGTTTATTGATCTTGTGTATATTTTTGAATGTTTACTGTTTTTTTTTTAATTTTAATGCTGATAAATACCATCATCGTCTTATTTTGACTTCTACGAACACGCGGTGCGTATTCAGCAGTAAATAAAGAATTGACTTGATATTGAACTGATGCATATAGACTCCAAAAAAAGTTTCTCGGGAAAAAGGTACATGTAATTCGTATGATAGCAACAAGGACCCCATTCTTGAACGATGGAACCGAATCATGGACAGAAAGTCGACGTAGGTCTCTTCCCTGTTGGATGATTCCATATTCTGAGAACGTTTGCCGATTAGAACCAGGAACAAAAATATGGAAAGTAGACTTGCCTGAGAACCCAGTATGATGTATTTCTTGTCCATGTGATCAAAGCAATCCTATGATTAGTTTCTGAGAAAAAGGAGGATAAAGTTTGTCTGATGTGCCAGAAAAAACGCAACGTGCCCAAACCGAGGTTTTACAGGTACGCATTTTCCTCAATGTCCTTGGAATAATACAACAAAATAATTATTTTTATAGAAAGAAGTGCACATGCTTTTCACAATTCTTTATTCGCTTTGAGTACTTGAATTATCGTCCGAACGGTTAATATTATTACAGGCTTAATTTGAATATCGATCATATTGTACAGATCCCACATCTTTGTTTCGATTGTGTCTTGAACGTGACCGATGCAATCTTTCCAATGGTTTGCCGTCACTCTGTTGACAGCTTAATAAAACAAATCTGTCACGTCAGAAAATTTGAATGTTCTATTATTTGAAGCCACATAGCATTGTCGTCAAGCGTTGGGAGCGTCTCTTCAAACCATCGTTCAAATGAACTCCCGTCCATTTCTTCATGGTAGTCGGTCGTTTTCTTTCACTCAAATGCTCATAAAGTAGTGGGCACAAGGCCATCTTGACTGCCAACGTGACAGATAACATAATCGCCTTCCTTTTCCTGGAAATAATCATTTCATAAGATATTCAAGAAAACCAATGATATCACAAGCAGAGTATCTAACAGGTGTTGGTTCCAAATCTACCAGATTGAATGACGAATACCTGACGGATTCTTTAGTTCATTGCTTAGTCCATCTAAGAAGGCTTGTTTTGCTGATTTAATTGTAGAGTCAGCTCATACTTTAGGTTTTGTATGTCCTGCATATATCCAGGTTTCATCCCAGTGATAAATCTTCCTTCCCTGGTCGCGATATTTCTTCATTGATTTTAAATAATTTCTCCTCCATAAAACAACCTCTCAATCTATCAAAATACTATTTCTGCCCCATTCTCTTGAGTGGTGGAGACATTTTTTTATATTCTATATAGTCTTTCGATATCATGAATTTTCATCTAAGGATGCTTTAAAATTTCGCTCTTATAAACGGACAATTTATTTTGCCTGCATATTCAAATGTCCCTTCTTGTGACGTTTTCGGGGAGGAGACATCCCTGAAGAGGAAGCATGGCTGAAGGAAGCATCGCGGAAAAATATTCCCAGTTTCATCTGCTGTATCGGTAGACAACGTGGTAACGTATAAACACATGCTATGTAAACGGGGCCTGAGTTCTATCCTGTCGAATCCTGCACTTGTCTTATGGCCCGATGACCAATAGCTATTGCAACGCTTAGGCGGCTGCCGCTTCGCCGCGCTGCGTCTTTGTTGTGTCGGGGCGTAAACGGACTACGAATAGAGTATAGAAGAAATATTATAATAAATAACACCTACAGTATATTCAGATAAGAGATAGACCGGATGTAAACAAAAGGTTCGGGTGATTTTCACGCTAACGCCGCCGTCTCGACGTAAAACAGGAGCCCTCATTGGTCAATTCGCAATTAAATGCCTATGCCGAGCGGCAAAGCAGTCGTATCAAGGCAGAGTCACATTCAGGTTCAGACGTGTTAGTATGTCGTGTGCATCATTGCAATTTGATATTTCTTTGGATGTTTTCGTTTGTTATCTTATTAAGTTGTTGACTTTGTCGTTGTTATTGTTATACCTTGTTATTGATTGTTATTGTTATCAACTGCTTGCGCAAAATGCCCAGTAGTACAGATACTGCCGATGAAGTTGTAAACTCCTGTAGTCCATCTAGGAAACGCTCTAAAAAAAGACACCTGAGTGCAGAAATGAAAGAGGTCATTTTGAATATATATATAAGATCGAGCGCGAGGAGAACGAGGCATCAACCATCAAAGAAATTGTTGTGAAGGTTTCTCACAAAGTTGGGGTGTGTCGCGCATCAGTGTTTAATGTGTTAAGACAATACAAAAAAAATCACACCTTTTCTGAGCCAATGACCAGTAAACATCGCAAAAGTATTGTTAAATCATTGGATGAAGCTGATAAGCATGCGATTAGGAGGAAAGTGCATGAATTCTTCTTTAGGAATGAAATACCTACTATAGATAAAGTACTGCAGGAGGTAAATGGAGATACAACGTTGCCAAATTTCAAACGATCAACTTTCCATGCGTTACTGAAGCATTCAAATTTCAAATGAAAAAAACGGGGTCGTAAGGGTCGTAATAGTTTACTACTGGATAGAGAAGAAATTGTGCTATGGAGGAGGGATTATTTAACAAAAATTGGGAAATATAGAAATCAAAACAGGAAGATTTATTACCTTGATGAAACGTGGGTAAGCGCAGGACACACTACAAGTAAAGTATGGGTTGATGATTCTGTAACTTCATTCAGGAGGGCCCTTCTAGATGGACTGTCCACCGGATTAAAAAATCCAGCAGGTAAATATGAGTAATAGACAACAGTCGGATGTTTTTAAAACCTTGGGAACAAGGTTCTAAACATTAATTCCAGGGGGCAGATAAAACATATTACAAGTAACAAAACTTTTATAACTTTCGATAAAATGCGTGGATGTTTTATTGTCATTTTCATTTGTTAGAACTTTTTTTAAGCCATGTTTTTATGTGTTTTCGATATTTCAATAATTTTTTAATATAATCTTAAAATATGTCGAATATTATAAACTTAAAAAAAGTTACTAAGTTTTATATTGTGTACCGTTCCTGATATTTCTAATCATTTTAATTCATACTTTAAGCTTTATAAAGTTATAATTTGTTAATATTAATATTTGCGCGTATTTCAGGTTCCTAATCATTCATTTTTTAAAGGTTTATAACTTTAAATTAAATTGTGAAGCGCTGAGTAATCATACGACGTTCAATATTCTTTCTTTCAATATGACTAAATAATCCCAATTATAGCAATCTGATACTCATGTCTCAATGTTTTTTCGCTGAATGTGATGAAAACATTTGAAAAAGGTTCGTTTATTGAAATAAATCTACACCAGTTAGTACTTCGATTTCCAGGTAAAGGGAAAAGGCTCATTATCTGCCATATTGGCAGTGAGGATGGATTTGTTGTTGACGGTCTGTAGTGCTTTGAGTCTAAGAAAACTGGAGATTACCACGAGGAAATGAATGGCGAATCGTTTGAACAGTGGTTTTCAAAAATTTTACCGAACTTAGAGGAAAACGCAGTAATTGTGTTGGATAATGCGCCTTATCATTCTCGGAGAATGGAGAAGGTCTCAACAACGGCTTCAAGGAAAGTTGATGTTCAAAATTGGCTCCGCTCGAAAAATATCAACTTTGAAGAAGCAATGCTGAAAGTACAATTATTAAGAATTGTCAAGGATCACAAGGCGGAATATCAAAAATACGCCATTGACGAAATGGCAGCAAGTCAAAATAAAACTGTGCTCCGTTTACCTCCATACCATTGCGAGCTCAATCCCATTGAGCTCATATGGGCAGAGGTTAAAAATTATATAGCTAAGCACAATACAACTTTTAAATTTTGTGACCTCAAAGGACTTTTCAAATAAGCACTAGAATTAATAACAGCGCAAAAATGGGAAAACTGTATTAAGCACGTGAAAGACAAAGTTGAAAAGAGAATGTGGGAACTGGACAATATTTTAGAGGAACAAGTCGAGCCATTCATTATTGACGTTGGTGCTTCAGGCAGTAGCGATGATGAAAGCTCATCAAGCTCATCTTTCCAATAAAAGGT